AGAAAAATTAAAAAACAAACTTTAATATGTGTAAACAAATTTGTTGTTTTCTACAATACTGCGTTTTGTAGTAATAATAATATTAAAATGTATGGTTTAATTTAAAATACTATTTACTATTAATTTCACAAAATATTGAATGATAATCGAACTTATATTCCAGAAAAATTAGAAGTTAAAACGATTAAATTTCAAAGCACTTAAGTTTTAGACATTTCAAAAGCAGCCCGATAAATATTACGCGTATTTGATAACGTTTTATTCAGAGTCGCATTGTACGGCAACAATAAGATTTATTATTTTTCGATCGATATGATCTAAATGAGTGAACAACACTTCCCAACGTCAATACCTATCGACGGGAAAAAATATTTTCAATAAGCCGTACGGATAATAACACTTCGGCGCCACCTCCAATAAAAGACATGTAATATATTTTTCGTAAATAGTAAAACACGCGGTTGGTTCGATTGTTTCCGTTTTTTTTTTTTCCGCGGTACTTACAGTACCGAAATTCGGAAGCGATTAGAAAAAAAATAAAAATAAAATAAAATAATAAAAAACCAAAACGAATAGTTTACAAGAAAACTATTGGTTATTCGGTGGCTTTGTGTTCAACAACGTCACGGGTCAAATTACTCCGATAAAACGAAAAAAAAAAAAAAAAAAACAATAATATCAAATAAATAAATACATATTAGTGTTGTGCGGACGCCGTTGAAAGGAGGAGAGAAACGGTCGTTCGATACGGCACACCGATGTTAAGCGCACGGCCGTCATTGCGGTTCACGCGAAACACAGCCGCGAACGAGAACTACGTCATTCGTACGTATGCACGCGTGTACGCGCTCTTATTGTTTTAATTGAACGCAATTGACGTTTATTTTTCGTCGCCGACTTCGCGCACCGCACAACGATGTTACTATGACCATCTGTTCCCGTCGCCCGTCCATCTTGACCGTCCTCGGTGTTCAATCAACGGCCGAACGGGATAACAAGTCCTTCGACGATCGATGGTTACCGTCCCGGTGCCCCACCCCTCGTCGATTAATTAAAACCGCCGCCGCTACTGTTCTACTGATTCCGCTGCTGTTGTTGTCGTTCAACAACACGATGTCCAAAAAGTACAACACACATCTAAGAACGAACACAACCACACACCGTACTCCATTGTCGATAGATCTTCGTAACACCGTGATCGCATGGCGTGCGGTTGTGCGTTAATGGCGGCTAAAATTTTGTTGAAAACGGGCGGGAGGGGGGAAAGAAACAACAAAAGAAACCTAAAAATTACGACGGAATCCGATGGATTACAGGGTGAACACCGTATAACAGCAGATGCATCAGTTACGTCGATGAAAAGATTAAAGATAACGATAAGAATTATTGAAGACGGGAGGCCGCTCGAGACGGTTCAGCCGATTCTTCTGTTTTAGCAACGATTTTCCCTGCGCCCTCGGTGATCGACGGCGACCCGTGCGCACGACGTCGATCGGGTTCAATCGCAACTTACTAAATGCGTCACGAAAAGGATATCCAAACGAATGCTTCCCCACTTTGAACCACGCAGACACCTGAGTAGGGTGAAATATTTGATTAAAAGTTCTTTCTCTTTGATTAAAATATCAAATGCAATTTTAAATTCAATCAATTTGAAATCGAAAAATAAATCTGAACAAAAGTGCTTAAATCATATCACACATACACACACACACACGTGCACCGGATGCGAGCAGGTCTATTGATGTGTACCATTGAAACGACGTCCAAACGGACAATTTTACACTATCAATATCCAAATAATTCGAGGTTAAATTATTACGTCTTACAGAAAATATATAGGCACTATAAGATTTATTTCTTAATTTTGTTTACTGTAATTTATTAGTGTCGCGAACGTGTCCAAATGATAAATAGGAGTTTGACTGATTACTTATATGTATTGTGATCATCTCGAATCGGGTAAAAAAACATTATCAAGCTTATAACTGAAAGGGATATTTTAATTGATTAAAAAAACAACATATCTTTGACTCGATTGAGATTTCGGCGAGTCTTAATACTTTGATGAGCTTGTTTAAAAAAGCTTTAATTATTATTTCTTATGAAATTCAAAAAAATTCATCAGTAAAAAATCATAAACCTTTTTAAGTTATTTCATTGTCGTGTAAATCATGTAAAAAATTTTAATATTTAAATTGAAACTGACGACGTCTTTAAAAACTTTAAAGTCTAAAAATGAAAAAAAAAAGTAAATAATAACAATAATTATTTTATCATCGTTTTCTATTCGTTTTTTTTAAGTACGAAATTTCTGTCCGATTGAATTAATGAGTTATAATAAATAATGGATTTAAAAATAAATTACTAAAGGATTACAATTGAGTTCAAACTCTGATAACAGTACAAAATATACGATAAACAATTGATGTCCTTAAAATCTTTACCGTACGTGTCATTATCTTTCTAATTTTCAAATTATATTTTACATAGTTACACAACGATTAACAGTACAAATAAATTGTACAAACACTTATCGTCGATATAATAATATAATACGAGTTTATTCAACAATATATACACCGCGTGTTTTTCTACATTCGAAGGAAAATATGTATAGAATACAAATAAATAAAAATGTGAACTGTTCGGTCTACTGTAGATAATGTAGTATACGTTTACCAGCGCTGTAGCGTAAAAAATAAACAAGAACAATGTACAGCTGAACACCAAAATCTCTCATCAACAGTTAATACGAGTCGGCGCATTCGTGACGCGAGCGACGAATTCATTTGAACAACTCGCAGACATTTCACCACGACGCACTACGTTTCGGTTGTAGGGAAAACAATCGGAAAACGATTCGGAAAACAGATTCGTAACAACAGCCGACGGAGTTAACACGAGTGCTCTGTATAAACGCGTTGCATTATGACGTATAATAATGTAATGTATATAGATAGATACACAGCTCGGTCATACCGTACAAAACGTACCAACGGTTTTCGGTCTCACGTATAACCTACGCTGACCTTTCAGACCAAACATAACCCGTAACAAGCTTATCTAAGCTCTCTACACATAATTTTTCGCATGAGAACCGACGCACAGTGACGACAATGTAAACGCGACCAAAATCACGCGCAGCCGGGTGTGTGTTCGCCAGACTAGTGTTTTTTCATTTGTTTTACAGTTGTTCGTATTTGCAATTGTTAAACACGCGTACGTTTTTTTCTCTCTCTCCAAATGCCGTGGTTACTTCCATAGTTAAAAACCGAACTACACGCGAATGTGTATGTTGCACGGAAACGTTCGGAAGTAGACAGTGTATTGCGAAGTAACGTTTCGAAATTCTACCAGCACGTGTTATCCATGACGCTGCGTCGGTAAATCGTCGCATCACGAGTAATTTTGTTGCATACGCGTCCAGATGATTAAACAAACGACGGCGTTCGTCGATTACGTCGTTTGCGGGGAAATTATTCGAACTGGTATTAAATTTACCGAGGCCGTTAAACGCGCTTCGGAAACACGCAAGTGATTTGCATAGTATAATGTAAATAATACGCGATCTAGTCACGTGCCAATACCGCTAATAATATCATTGAAATTAAAATAATAAATATTAAAAAATAAACACTGTAAATATATACCGTGATCGCTTGCGTTTACGCTTTTATGTAACCATTGGTGTTAAAATTTTAATTTCTACTAAATCGCTGAACACTGATGTACAAGGGGAAAACTAAGGTCGGGCAACTCCAATACCTACGAATATTTGGCATAATAATATAGAAAAATTACGGCAACTATAGGTAAAACAAAACTAAATAAAATTACACGTCACTTTAGTTTATGAAATGGTATACGAAATGGTAATAGGTTACGAAATCGGTTGAAATGGAGCGAGAGGATTCGGGTGTGTGATGACTATCGATACATTTCTCGAACCCCTTAATAGTACATCTATCACACGCGATTATGGGTGTACAAATCCATGCGATATTTTTATACGCAATTACACAAAGGCTGAGGCATATAGTTCAATACATAGTAACCATTACACTATTATTACTTTAAAAATTAAAATATACCACTCAGACTCGTAGTTTTTTTGCTATATTGATGTAGTTAAATACTTATTTCATCTTAACTAGCACTGAATTCGATACAAGACTATTGGTTTCATTATTACAGCAGTAAAATATCTGTGTATAAATAAAATGTGATATCAACTATGAAAATGCGACTATCGCAGGATAAATATTCAATAATGAATGATTAGCGACACAAACATAACTAATGTTATTTACTTTAGTGAATATTTTAGTCATTCAACACGTACGATATTATGATCAAAACGATAAGAGAATAATTGTATATTGTTTCGGTTTGACCTGCGTTAATTGATGAAAACTGTTCAACGGGTAAAAAAATAAAAACAGCATTCTTACGGATACTCATAGCACAGCAGCAGCCGTACGGTGCTGATGCTGGTGTAGTTCCGAATACTTCGTCCGGTGATATCCTGGAAGAGAGCGAACTACGTACGTACGTGGGGTATTAAATTACAAGACGCGCCTAACGTACCATGATAATATCCTGTTCCCCCTCTACCGGCAGAAGGACCACCGGTAATAATACAACCAACGATAGAGACGTAAAACGTACGCAAGTATGTATTTGATTTTATTTTTAAGGATTTAGGAGGGGTACGTATACGTAGTATAACGCAATAAAAAACGACCGACGACGCGGAAAGTTTGTTAAAATGTAAAACGTCTTCAGACACGCATCGCAGTCGCGCGCGCAAGGACGAACCCGGGAGAACGTCAAGGTCCACGCACGTTTCACCCGTGAACGATCTCGTCACCTTAAACTCCGATCTCCATATCGACGACGCGCGTCCGATCCCGTTCGGCCGACCGTTGAGATTTTTAGCGGCCGTTAGCTCGCCGCCAACGGTGGCGTAGACCCCTTTGCAATACCGATCGGAGTGTCGCCGTCGGGCGGCATCATCTACTATCGGCTATGTTTCGTGTACGGAAAATTAGTTTTCCGCTCGTAGGAAGCGAAAAAAAAAAACCGAAATCGAAAAGAAAACGCGCGTTTCGCGTCTCCGGGTAACGTTTCGCCGGGCAGAGCGCGCGAGTCCGCCGACGGCCGAAGGTTGGTGGTCGCGCGCGCGGCAGTACGCGTAAATCGTGTGTAACGGCACTGACCTTGGGCTTCAACTTGGACAGCCTGTACGCCGCGTCCTCCTCGTCCTCGCCGCCGCTGAACGTGCACGTGCTGCAACCGGATATCTTGCGCTCGGGCGTGTGCAGCGAGTAGTCGGCGTCCAGCACGCTGATGACGCTGCCCGCGGCGCTCCACGTGCTCGCGGCGCTGCAGTCGGACGACGAGTCGTTGAACGAGCAGTCCGCGCGTCCCGGTTCCAGCTCGCCGAGGTCGTCCAACGTGAACATGGACGAGTACGACACCGGGCCGCCCTCGGAGTAGTCGCTGACCACCACGGACGGGGTGCGGAACTGCCGCGAGCCCGGCGCGTCGTCGCCCGCGCACCCGCCGTCCAGCACCACGGTGCCGCCGCCGCCGCCGCCGCCGCCGCCGTTGTCGTTGCTGCTGTACGACCGGTACAGCGCGGGATGGTGCCGGGTCGCGAAATCGTCGTAGCCCTGGTCCAGGCTGTGTCCCTTACGGCTCGGGCCGCCGCCGCCGCCGCCGCCGCCGCCACTGACGGGGCACGTCCACGACTTGCGCCTCTTCCGCTTCACCTTGGTCTTGCTCACCTCCAGCCGGCTGACCACGGGCACCTGTTGCGTCTTCTCACCGTCCGAGTTGGTCGTCGTCGTCAACTTTTCTTCGTCGTCGTCGTCACTACCTGCGGGCCGGCGGGCGCAACACGCTAACATTAGTTCAAAATCTTACCAAATACCGTTGGGGAGGGGGGGGGGAGGAGGAGGGAGAGATCTCGGACTAGCGTTTTTTCGGCGGCCGATCGAACGCGATCGATCGGCGACTGATACGCAACGAATCACTGGACCTCGAAAGTTCCGTGCGCGTACGGCTTAAAATCGAAACATTTTTACCGCGACCTTATTCGGTTTTTGGCGTTTTTCGATTCCGGTTCCGTTGATTTTCCTCGGTTATATGCGATTTTGAACGTTTATTAATGCAATAACTTCCGAGACCCAGTAAATGCGTATCAATAACATACAAAGCACGTTATTGTGACCCAGACTAGACCGATTCACGGGATCATCCGAAATCGGTCGAAAACCAAACGCATCGCTTGCAGTTCGGAGACGCTACTATACGTTTCCGACGTACCCTATGTGCTGTTCGTTTGCATAGAGCCGACAACCAACATACGAGTATACCAGGGACCAGGACCGTAACCAAAAAGAACCGGTACTGTAACCGGTTAACCTTTAAATTTTAGGAACCGTAACTGACACCAGAACCTTTATTTCCAAAAATTAAAAACCGTAACCTTAAATATAAAAGGGTTAATTTAAGTCGGTTATTTTGACTAGTAAAACTATGGTAATGACTATTTTGTTTATCTGTTTGTCGATTCAAAAAAAATAAAAGTCAAATCTTTTTATGTTTTTATTATTTTGTGTTGTAAACTGTAATAGTGTAATGCATATAATAAGTAAATTTGTAATATTATTATTATTATTTTCGTATTTTTATTAATATATTACAATTTACAATGTGTATATCATCTATCTTGTTAATTAAATATTAAATATAATTAATTTCTATAAAAAATGTGTAGCTGCAACAGTAGCCAGGATTAACTTTGATTCCTAAATACGATTAAATTTTAAATTAAAGATATTTATTTCATCAAACTATAGTATTTCACAATATTACAAAATATTTTACAAATTCTTACTATGAGTTGGAATAAAATAACAACCTAACTCAAAGAAATATAATAGGCTGAGATATATATATTTAATAAATTTATAATTATTATTTTTAACTATTCATAATACCTTCTATTTTCATGAAATGAAACAAAATTTAAACAAGAATAAATAATATTAAATTATAAATATTATTTTTCAATAAATCTCTAATAATCAGAATTAACCGAAATTAACCGGTTCTAGAAACCTTACTCTTTTAAAAAACCGAAATCTAAACCGGAACCGAAAAAACCTATAGGTTCTAGTCCCTGATATATACAAACGTATTCCACCGAATGTCTTACAACGGAAGTTCAGAACTCTATCCGCTCTTATGTACATGTTACAGTTCGGTATTGAATCACATATTATGAAATAACTAAAACATGTAGCTAATGTATATAATTTATACTTTAACTAGTTACTCTATTACATTCCCCCGGGGGCTTACTATGTTCATGTGTCTAATTGCACTAAATATATACAATATCGTTACTTTATTTGAACCAATAAAAGTATTACATTAAGATCTGCAGCAACTGCTCAGTCACCGGTAACTAGTCAGGGTTTTTTTTTTTTAGGTGCACATGTACCAAAAAATTTAATACAATAGCCTTGCGTGTACAAATAAATAATTTAACTATAACCGATTCAGTTTAAAACAAATCAAATATTGTAATACATTTTAAACTTAAATGTACCTTATGTACCTCGACGGTAATCAAACTAAAATAGTATAGATCAACTTAGGTTTCTTAAACTTCTTTATCCGCGAAACCCTTTTTGATGTCCACATTTATTGTGGAACCCCAGGGTTCCGCGGAGTACAGTTTAAGAAACGCTGGTATAGAATCACTAGATTTTCTATGAAATAACTAGTTTAAGTATGATTTTGATATATTACTTCATACATTACCTACCTAAAATTCGCAAGTAATTCGTGAAATATGTGAATTTTTTTTCTTTTTGATGCTCAATTTTCAGATACAATGCATAGTATGAACAGTCGTTTTCAATCGCGGTTTTGTCGGTGATCCAAGTCATGTAAATCGTGTATACCGCACTTTTTGAGACCACACCAAACACATGGCACCTTAAACGTAGTTTAACCTTAACACTGGATTTCTACACACGCCGTGTTAAAGGACATCCAATAATTATTTTTTTTTTTTTTTGTGTACCTTTTCTACGTATTGTTTTCTAAAAATCTTGTGGGGATGTATTCGCAGTGGAAACAGTTCAGTTTTTACTGTCCATATTTACATATCATATTTATGATTAAATTTTAAACTACATTATAATATCAATGTAATATAAATTTATAGATTAACGAATTGCAATTTTAAATTAAAAATTATTTATTTTATTTGTGAATTTATTTTTAGTGCGATAATATTGTTTAACTCGGATGAAAAAAAAACAAACTACTATTAGACCATTTTTCTCGAAAAACGTGACTTTAGTCGGAGATTTTGCGTATTTTACAAACTGAAATATGACAAAGATATTACCGTGAAAATGCTTAGAATTGTAATAATAACACATGTGCGAGTACCATGTTTGCATACGTGTTTGCTAACAGTCAACATATATATGTAGGTAGGTTTAATTTAATTATATTGAAGTACTGAACATTTTTAGATCACAAATTGGACAAATACATAAGATACTTTAAACAATGGCCATTTCTTTCTCCGTTTATCAATCGTTTTCTTTCTTTAGGGGCAATGACTTCGGGTGAACATTTCAAAATAATATTAAATTCCTTTCAACATGCGTTATAATTGTATATTGAATTTGACTTTTTATTTTGATTCGAAGCGCATAGATTTAATGTTTATCATTGATAAAAGTTTAAAATTATTTTATTACATAACGTACTCGTATTTATGAGTTATAAAATTGTTTTAATATAAGATATTGTATAGTGTATAATATTTTATGTTAGAGATGCGTACGGTCTAATCATTTATTTTCCCGGTTCGACTTCCGGGGGTAGATAAATTCCAACATTACCCCAGACCATTTTTTAAATAAATTTTTATCATCGTATTCCAATGTACCTAAATATTTTTATTTATTTTTTGATTTTTTACTTTTATTTGCGTAATAATCACTAAACGGCTTTTGATTACAAATCGGTAAATAACAGTGCGGGTTTTCGTACTAAAAAAAAAAAACATTGTTGTTCTTCAACAATCATTATCGCATCATCATTCTCTTCAGATTGAATGACTATGGAAATATATGTAAGATACATTATCGATAAGCTTAATTATAAAATTGTACTGGATTGATCATGGATAAACCGCTAATTATTGACATTTTGAAGTTAGTGGCGGAGACGCGAGGAACCCCACAATATTTTCTTTGGGGTCTAGTCCATAGCAAACATATTTCAATAACGATTCTATGAAGCACACGTTAGTACTTGAACTCCGATTAACTAAAAATATATTTACGAAATAACATTCTAACCCTAATAGTTTCTAATCTACGGTCAAACACCATAACAATTCAAATGCTCCACCCCCCCCCCCCCCCCCATAATAAAATGTAGTTCGAATAATAATCTAGATCTTTAATCGTTGTCCTACGCATTAATTTATTATTAACATTATAATACAACATTTTATTATTATGATTCTCTCAATCGTAATAATTTGGTTTTAATTAATATGCATTATCTCAATTGCCGTACATTTCAATGTGCATAGTCATGACGTCGGGATTGTAACGGGTATTCATAACGTTGTCTAATTATTTAGTTTTAATCACATCGCGCGTTCTACCCAAATGTAATCATAACATTAAGCCTGTACAACATCGTATTGTCAGCGATGTGATCACATCGAAACACCGACGTGTTAGTAGTTAATTATAAAGGATTTGATAATATCGAAAATTAATTAAATTTCAACTGTCGTTATTCATTACGTCTACTACGTACTACACACGACGGATATTATATGATATGGTCCGTTTCGAACGTGTGCCGATTTCCATAATTGGAAAATCCTAAAGTTAATCGTTTTAGCCAGTGATTAAAAGCTGACGCTCGTACGTTTTACAGGGTATCAACGATAAAACTATGCTCAGCAGAAAATAATAAATTTATCGGATAAGAACCTGCAGGGGAATCGAATATATTCGATTTGATATCAATGAACAGCGTTATAGTGCTCGTCCGACAACAATAGGCAAAACTCACAAAGCCAAAAACTAATAACAATCTCGTCAATAAATAAACCATGAAAACTATCAACTTCAATGTATTATGTTCTTTCGACATTTAAACAATCAGTAGTATTATTAACACCGTATTCTTGTAAAATATACGTTATGTTTAAAATATCTTAAGTTATGTTGTTCATTTGGTTTCGGGCACGTGGCCAATATCAGTATTTCATTATTTTTATAGCAATTGATTTGATAATGATCGGACAGCAACTTTCAAATTACAATCATCCGTATAATGTTTTACTTAAAAAAAACACGTAAGGTACACTTTTAAATAAATTACATTAAAATACGCATTTCCTACGGTAATTACAAAAACTTTATATCGTTAGTAATCTTATAAGTCGAGTAATTCACCAACAAATAACAACTGTATTTCATACTAATATTTTCCGTAAGAAATCGACCGAATTCTAAACTTGAAATGGAAATTATCACGCATAAATTATTGAAATGTTCAATACGGATTATATTTATATCAGAGTACCTACTTAAAAATCTTAGAATAAAATCGAATCGTTTGACAACACTTGGAGTCAAATCGAAATCAAAGTATTTAAAACATCTTAAAAAATTATATAGTAAATAATTAAACGAACAGCAAACTGTACAAATTTATAATTGTATTTATAATTGTTTAACATTTGAATAAATCTGCGAAAATCAATACTATCCAAGGCAAGTTAAACTTATTCAATAATTTATAACCAGAAAACATAAT